GTTTTTTAAGTCGGTTTTTTTAAACGTAGTTTTTTTTTATTTTTTACTTTTTAGTGTCTGTTACAAGTTCTTCTGTAAACTACAGTAACATTTTAAATATAAATTAACATATTGAATAGTATATATATTTTTAAGTAGCTATGTGTAGGCCTGCGAAAGGAGCCGCTCTATTAAAAAATATAGATCCCAAGAAATGGGAAAGTTCTCATCATCATCATCATCATCATCATCATCATCATCATCAGCCTTTTTAATGTTCCCACTACTGGGTCACAAGCCACCTCTCTAGGAGAGGGAAAGTTCTTATCAATATAAATAAATTAAATCCAAACACGAGGTCGCTACTGTAAACCGTTGAGGAGTTCCCTAGACTGTCCTTCGTCTTGATCTCTAATGATAGTCACAATCCATCTAGATGTAAAGTTATTATCAAAACTAATTAATTAAGCTCAAACACAAGGAAGCTGCTATGAATCGTTGAGGAATTCCCTCGACTGTCAATGGTCTCCATCGTCAGGTACACTGCAGACCTTCAGTTGTTATAATCCATACAGGTACAAAGTTTTCATCAACATAAATGAATTAAGTTCAAACACGAAGTAGTTACTGTACACCGTTCAGGAGTTCCCTGAGCTGTCCTTAGTTCTCATCATCAGACCCTTAATGATAGTTACGACCAAGTCTGGTGCAAAGTGCTCGCCAATACGAATCATTCAAGCCCAAACACAAGGCAACTGCTCCAAATAGTCAAGGAGATCCCTCGACTGTCTTCCAGCTCCAACATCTGGTCGACTTCGACCTTCGTCAAGTTGTAGTGTTGTTAAAGGCCTACTTAAACATCATACAAAAAAACTACTTGCCCCTACAATTTTCGAAAGTTCCCCTCGGTTTCTCCAGGATTCCATCATCAGGTCCTGACCTCATGACAATGGGACCAAATGGCAAGTATACCCTATCGAATAAAAAAAAAAAATTGCAAATCGGTCCAGGCGTCTTCGAGTAATCGGTGTACATACATAAAAAAAAAAAAAAAAATACTCGTCGAATTGAGAACCTCCTCCTTTTTTTGAAGTCGGTTAACAAATATGTTGACCCTGCCTCCAGGCTTCAGAAAATAAGAAATTCGTTTAGATGTCAATGTATACGCTTTTACAATAAAATTCCTAGGGATATTCAAAATTTGAGCCTCAATAATTTTAAAAGTGTAATAAAGGCTAAACTTTACTGTAATGCATTTTACAAAATAAAAGACTACTTAGAAGATAGTCAGGCTTGGGAATGAGCCGCACTATAACTTCTGCACGGGTCATGTTGACATGTTTGTAACATAAGTTGCGCTTTTTATATACAATTTGACATTACGTTTATTATTATTTTTTTACAATGACATTTTTACATTGTCTGGACTTGAGAAGAGACTGATCTCTGAGTTTGTTTCGGCATTTCTTCTCAGAGTAGTCAGATAGGGAAAGCCGGCTTCATCTAGTTTTTTACATACAAATTGACGTGTAAATGTGCCGTTTTATGGCCTATTTGCAAAAATATTAATATTATTGTTTCATTGTTTCAAGAACGCCCCAACTGCGTCGCCTTCGGAGCAGCCAACAGCGATTAGCGACAGCGCGCATGCGCCAAGCGGAGTACCAACATTGCCGCCGTTGCCGTTCCTCACGCATGCGCAGAGCGGCGCTGCTGCACCTGCCACTGCTTTCGTACGACCGTGCTTGGTGATTTTAATGCCGATGTCTCACGTTCTAATAGTTTAAATATCTCGGGCATATAGTAACCGAAAATTTCTTGGATGACGAGGATATGGAACGACAGAGACGCAGTATCGCATGTAGAAGTAATATGCTAGCTAGACGTTTCTATCACTCCTCGAAACAAGTGAAAGTGACGCTGTTCAAGGCGTACTGCCAGTCCTTCTACACCAGCCAACTCTGGTACCGCTAAACGAGGAGTGCATATAACACTCTTCGTGTACAATATAATAATGCATTCCGGACCATGATGAACTTGCCCTGGCGGTATAGTGCGACTGACGTGTTCGCCGAGAGCAGAGTTGCTGGTTTCGTCACGCTAATACAGAAACTCAGGCCTTCATTCTACACAAGAGTAGCTCTCTGAGCTGTAACGAAATTGTGACTGCTGTGTTCCTTGTTATCCATCTTAAAGGAGAGATAAAAGGCTTCTTATTATAAAAACTCAATACTTTATATTGTTTGTTGTACTGCTTAGCTTTTTAGATTTTTTTTATATATTGCTTTGGGTTTAATTGTCTGAAATAAAGAATATTTAATTTAATTTAATTTAATAACATATCAATATAATATAATTTAGTAAACAGATTCACACTAAACTCTGAAATTTACATTTCCTATCAAATAATCAAAATACAAATTAGCATTACTGGTGTATATAAACAAATACTTGGACTTGGTCTCAAATATCTCGTATTCGTAGAAGATGTGGATTCGGTTAACAGCATAGCCTTTTCGACGTATTGCCACCCAGCTGGCCAAATACTCGTAAAATTTATGAATAATCTAGCAGCCTTTCTATACGTTCAGTACTAAATGTAAGAAGGGGATGAGAAGAATGGCTCCAACTTTATTAATTGTGCTGGCACCGATTGCATCCCGATACGAAGACATTTTCAACTGAAATGAAAAGTAATTTTTCGTCAGTTAGTTTCTAATCAAAAATAACGGCAAGTAACGTAACATGCACGTAAATATTTGAAGTAGCAACAAGCAGGTCATATTTGTCAAAGAACAGACGACCGATGGGGTTGACGTGTTCTAGGGAATTCTAAGACTGCAAACGTAGTGTAGGGCGCCCTCCAGCTAGATGGCCTGACGATATCCGCAGGGTGGCTGGCAGTGGTTGGATAAAAAGAGCTGAACACTGAGCTTAGCTTGGCTTCCAATTTTTTTTCAAAAGTCGGCAATCTGGCAGACTTATTTCCTGATGGTAAGCAATCAACACCGGGCGGTGCTGCATGCACACTCGCAGTACCTAAGGAGTTACTACAAGTGCATTGCCAGCCTCTTGTAGGTCATTAGGGATTTGAAGATAAGGGATATGAGTGCCGTCAGAACTATTTATAACTTAAGTCGTCGCAAATCTCTCAGAGAAAAGTTTAAGGAGATCAACATTATAACTGTACCGAGTCAATTTATTTATGAAAACATTATGTATGTTGGGAAAAACCTACACTTATTTGTAAAGTATCTGATAAACATAATAATCATACTAGTCATAGGAATAGATTGAGACTTTACTTAGATTGACAAAAGTGCATAAGTCATTCCTGGGATTTTGTGTATAATGTTATTAGATTGACAAAAGTGCATAAGTCATTCCTGGGATTCTGTGTAGAATGTTATTAGATTGACAAAAGTGCATAAGTCATTCCTGGGATTCTGTGTAGAATGGTATTATATTGACAAAAGTGCATAAGTCATTCCTGGAATTCTGTGTAGAATGGTATTATATTGACAAAAGTGCATAAGTCATTCCTGGGATTTTGTGTAGAATGTTATTAGATTGACAAAAGTGCATAAGTCATTCCTGGGATTCTGTGTAGAATGTTATTAGATTGACAAAAGTGCATAAGTCATTCCTAGGATTTTGTGTATAATGTTATTAGATTGACAAAAGTGCATAAGTCATTCCTAGGATTTTGTGTATAATGTTATTAGATTGACAAAAGTGCATAAGTCATTCCTGGGATTCTGTGTAGAATGTTATTAGATCAACAAAAGTGCATAAGTCATTCCTGGGATTCTGTGTAGAATGGTATTATATTGACAAAAGTGCATAAGTCATTCCTGGGATTTTGTGTATAATGTTATTAGATTGACAAAAGTGCATAAGTCATTCCTGGGATTCTGTGTAGAATGTTATTATATTGACAAAAGTGCATAAGTCATTCCTAGGATTTTGTGTATAATGTTATTAGATTGACAAAAGTGCATAAGTCATTCCTGGGATTCTGTGTAGAATGTTATTAGATCGACAAAAGTGCATAAGTAATTCCTGGGATCCTGTGTAAAATGTTGTAACAAAATCCCAGTTCAAATTCAAAATGTAAACTACTACTGAGAAGGAAAAAGATGGAATGTTGCCATTTTTAGTAAGTCGTGGAACAGACGGCCGGTTTTCGCCACGGTTTACCGTACACCAGCACACACGGACCGGTACTTACGAGCCGACTCGCATCACCATCCCTCCCACCTTGCCTCCGTTCCCAGGACGCTAATCAACCGGGCTCTGATCCTGTATGATCCCCAGTACATTGACGCGGAATTCGACCACCTGAGACAGGTACTGGTAAATAATGGGTACAACTGTCGTCAATGTACTCGAATGGCGAACTCGTTAAGTAAAAGAAGATGGCCGGTTGGCAGTTGCGGAACGGACTCCAGCATTTTTACCCTATGTGAAAGGAGTAACCCACACCATCAGATACCTGTTACGCCGTAGATACAGCATCAGGACGATCTTCCGCCCACCCGGTCAGTTACGACATCTTCTACGCTCGCCTAAGGACAAGGATCCGCTGGCAGTTCCCGGAGTATATATGATTCCGTGCGACTGTGGCTCGAGTTACATCGGGGAAACTCGCCGCAACATCACAACCTGACTTAAAGAACACATACGCAGTGTGAAAAACCGGGACACCCATACATCGGCGGTAGCTGAGCATGCTTGTAGCATGGGCACGGCTCACTTCCTCCTTTTCGACAAGATCTCAGTACTAGCGAGGGAAAAATACTTCGTACCGCGGAAAGTACTTGAGGCCATCGAAATAAGCCGGCGTCCGAACTTCAACAGAGACGGTGGCTGGGCATTACAACCTGCCTAGAAGCCGATACTGAAATCTGACTGCACTGTTGCAGGTCTGGAGTGTGACACAGTTAGCGCGGTATGTAACATTGTTTTTGCGTCGACCCGGGATATGAACCCAACACCAACGCAGCTGCTGGCAGGCCAGTCTAGCGTACCAACTGTGTCGCGCGTGCCGTCGCTGCGGACGCCACGGTTAGAAGAAAGTGTGCGTGCATCGCGGCAGAGGGCGCGTTGGGCCCGCAGACTCGAGTAGCCAGTAGCAGCGCGACAGCCGCTGAGTCGCGTATCGCGGAATCCTGCTCATGAATATGGGCCTCTAGCATGGCTTGAAACTAGTCGAGTATCTCGTCAAATTATTACGTGAGTAAGCCGAAAACATAATAATTAATTAAAAATGTCTCACGAAAGTTATAATAAAAGAAATGAATTGTTAAACTGACTGAAAGAGTAACCATGGAGTTTCTTGCTCGTTCTTCTCCATAGGAATCTACAGTTTAGAACGAGCAAATAGCTTCACTAGAAGACAGATGGACAGACTGACACGCATGAAGTTAAACCTCTTGAAATATATATATTTTCTTTTTTTTGCTTGACATTCAAAAGTGCCTAGTGTGGTGTAATTAAAATAAATGATTTTGACTTTTGATTGTGGATTGAGGGTGGGGGAAGGCGGGAACAATAAGGCCCCTGGTAACCTCACTCACACAGCAAAACACAACGTATATGTTGTATCACGCCGGTTTTCTGTGAGGCTGGGCTGAGGCAAGGCTCTCCCTCACTTTCTTTTATTGAGATGCGAATTGCATTCAGGCTGATGATGATGATGTTCTAAGAACAGCTTTGCTTGCTTTCAGCCAGAACTGGACTTTGTCTCGCCCTAGCTAGAACGAGGGGAGGCGTGTCAAACTCTTACTGACTGAAAACCACCCCTTCTTTCTCCTGTCCCAAGCTGCGACTACGACGCATAATTGTTCGTGCGACCACAACCTCAGCTGAACAACCCTATTGTGTCCCATCAGTGGTGGTCTATCGGCTCTTTGTGGCGCGCAAGGAACGCGCTACCTCCTTGTACTCCGACTGACCAAATAAAGTTTCAGGAGATTTTTTTATGACATAGAAGGTAGCGAGTTAATTTAATCTTATTTTATTGACTTATATATGACATATATACATAGTCTAGCCATAAATCCTGTAACAAATAATAATTTTTTTTTCTATTGCAAATAACATTAATTACTTTTACAGTATGTAAGTTTAATACATAAATATAAAACATAAAAAGATTATTCGAAGTGGTCTCCATTGGCTGCAATACAGTCCTTTAAACGTTGAGGCCAGCTATCAATAGGAGCACGCACTCTTTCCATGGGAAAATTCTTCACTGCCAATCGTATGGATTGTTTTAGGGAGTCCAAATTATCATGACGTTTAGACCAAGCCGTAGGGCTTGGCCGTAGGCTTTTGATACACTTGTGCCGATGTTTTGATACCTTTTTCGCAAAAGTATGGCTCAATCACTCCTTCGTAGCTAACACCCTACCAAACCATCACTGAAGTCGGATAATGTCCACGTTGCACTCTGTCGACTAATTGAGAAGCTTCCTTAAAGCTTTGAGTATAAATACGGTCATTTTGTTAGTTAAAATGTTGCTCAATTGTAAAACATTTCTCATCCGTAAACAAAATTTTTCTGTGACCTCCCTTTGCGTACCGGTTCAGTAGTTGTTTAGATTTTATCACCCTGTTCTTATTTAAATTATTATTTTAAAAATGTCCAGTGCGTGTCTTATAGGCTGCAAGTCCTAAGTCGTCTTTTAAAATACGCGACATGGTTCTAAGTGCTATCTTCATCTCCCGAGATAAAATCTTTTGCTTTCGGACAGGATTTCTTCGAATTCATTCCCTTACTGCTTTGACCACCTTTTTCGTACGAACACTACGTGGACGGCCAGATCTTTTTCTGTCACAAACAGAGGAGGTCTCATTGTACCTATTAATAGCCCGGTACACAAACATTTGACTAATGCCAAGAGTGTGGAGAGTTTTAAAAATTGCATTTAGCTCCATACCCACTTTGTATAATGCAATCACAGCGATTCGGTTCTCTTTATCACCCCACTCCATTTTAATATCGCAAAATATTGAATTTATTGGCGCCAAAATAAGAAAACACAATGAAAAATTATATAAAAATGACAGATTCCAAATTCAAATGTAATATTTTGTTTATTTTTAATTGTAACAGTATTTATGGCCAGACTAGGTATATACATCATTACTTATTTTAAATACATTGTATAAACATTAAACCGATCCTGTACTTAATAATCCTATATCCAAAATATTTCCTCTCCTAATTTAAATTTACCGCCAACATTACCGGGCTCAAAGTACAGTATGCGACAGCGTCCTACAATTTATCGATGCGCGCGCAGCGCAGCGCGCCGTGGCAGGAAAAGAAACTAATCCAAAAGGAAGAATGGCGGTTTAAGCACAGTATAAATATCATACAGTATTGTAACTCGGCCGCTTGAAAGAAATAAATACCTACAGCCGCGCGGTACGTAAACATGCGTTAGGGCTGCTCGTCTCCAGTATTTTAATTACCTTTGTCTACTTTCTGTTTCCATTTAGTTTTGTGATTGTAAATATCCTTTTTTTATATAAACAAATAATGTGCTTTAAAAATAAACAAACAAAATTTATTTGGCCACTAATGCCGAACTGAACAGCTGACTACGAATGTTCTAAAATCACAACCCTCAAACATCAAAATATTACATGAGTCTAGCTGTTTTATTGTTGTTATTAAATATTTTCTAGTATTATTCATAAACGCAGATAATAAACAAATATTATTAATAATAAAATACCACACTCTCTACTTTGAATTATACAAACTAACAAAACATACATGAACCGTTTTAACACAAGCGTAAGTAGGTAGGTACCTAACGTATCATGATTCATTCAGAACCAGAACCGCCTATAACTACCTATTTCACTCGTCTCAATAACTTTATTCATATTATTTATAAATTCAAACATCTGTTTTCGTGAGGTAACTGGAAATAATGATCCATAAATACACACATTATGTACCTACCTAGGCTACTAGTAAGTAAAATTATTTTATAGTCTTACCTTTCAGAGTTTCCAAGTAATTTAAAAAAAACTTATGTCTGGATGCGTTATTGACGAATTCATGCAACCAAACATAATAACAGCACAATATTTCCTATTCGTCATATTAAATAATGTACTCGAGCTGATTTCTAAATAAAAGACAACACACCGTCCGTTCGTCACTGCGGTACAGCCGCGTCTGTCTGCGTCCCGAGCGCGTCCCGACATCGGGCGCGTAGGTATAGTTCGCGTTTCGGCCGTTTCTATGAAGTTGAAATACTTGTAGATATTATTACCTTGGTTTAAGCGTCGTCGCGAAGTGTCCGCAAAAATAATTAATATTACATGTAAAACACCTCGCTAGTGGTTCACTGACTGTTTTTGGTGTTCGATCAATCCTGCCTGACTTGGTGATAGCAAACAAAACTGTGCAAGTTCTGTGGTTCGAGAAATAGCTGGCCGGCCGGCTTACGTCGTTGGTGAAGTTCCCGTCAACTCCCGATCTGCATCCAGGTTAGTTTATGCATTCCCTACTTGATGGTCACAGGATTTCGTCAAGACTAAATTCAGGTCAATGCAGTGGCTACTCCAGCGAGGTTCAACCATTATTTGGTGCCTCCTGTGAGGACAAAGTACCTCACGTATTTCATTTCATTTAAAATTTTTACGATTTATGCTACGTAAATCTCGTTAATGTTTGTTAACAAATAATTTAAATTCAGTGAATAATATAATTGGCTTAAACTGCCACGAATTCATAGTTTTCTTCTTAAATATTATTACCTACTTCGTTCGTACCTACATTAGACCGCGGCGTGGTCGCTCGGCCGCTCGCTCGGCGCTGTGTAGGTACTAGATACTCGTATTGTATCTACCTCCTATGTAAAAGTAAATCCAGTGTGCTTTATTTTAGAATCTAAATAATACATACTCGTACAAATACTTATTCATAGAAAGTTGCTGCATTGCCTGGTTTAGGTTTTGGAGTGTTTGTTATGATAGTTGTGCTCGAAATTTCTCGTAGATAAAACATCAAGTAAAGTAGGTACATATTAGCTCGTACAGCTGAATCTTACTAACAAATAAATACGAACAATACACAATAACTAAGCTCAATATAATTAAGTAATTTCGTGGTTTTGGATCGTTCGTTTGTTTACATTTTGTTGCGCGGGTATACATATTATACCTAGGTACGCGCTATATAGCGGACTATCGTTGCCGATTGCGTTGCGGTTCGGAGACGATTCTCGTTATTACCGAAGTACGTACAACCTTGAATTTATTATTATTGTTTTCGTATCCAAAACAAGATGGCCGAAGTCGAGTTACAGTCGAGTGTTAACAGGCGTGAATATGAGTTTAGAAATGTGCAGATTATTTACGATCTAGCTAAAAGGGCTATGGTAGATAGTACTAAAATATCAACATTTAAGGCGAGATATAAGTCGATTGAGAAAATTAGAGATAATTTCATAGAATCTCATGAAAACTTCAATAAATTACAATTAAAATTAAATCCGGAATATAAGTTCGATAATAAACCTTTATTGTCATTCGACGAGTTATATTACGCGGCGGTTGAGTTCGCCGACTCCCTTGGTGCGAGTACGACCTCAAGTGCTACGTCAGAGCCCAGTGCTGGGCCTAGTCGTCACTCGTCTAATACACAAGTAAAGTTGCCTAAATTGCAAATTCCGAAATTTGATGGTAAGATAGAAAATTGGCAGACATTTAAAGATAGTTACGTTCCGCTTGTTCATAATAATGGCTCGCTGTCAGATATTGAGAAATTCCATTATCTGCTCTCCTGTTTGTCGGGTTGCGCACTGACACTCGCCAAGGGTGTTCCTATAACTTTAGCTAATTATTCCGTTGTTTACAGTGCCTTACTAGAAAGATACGACAACAAACGCATTTTGGCGACAACTTATTTAGAAAAGTTGTTTATGGTGACGCCTATTCAGAGGCCATCATTGGATAATTTATCTGACTTCACAAACGTACTTTATGAAAGTGTTAACGCCTTACGTGCATTAAATATTGAAGATTTATCCGAATTTATTTTGTTTTACATTGCGTCACGACCTCTTGACCTTGAAACCAAAAGACGGTTTGAATTACAAAATACTAACCAAATTCCAAAATTTAACGACTTGGTTGTTTATTTACAAAATTATATAAAAATTCTGGAAGTGAGTCAGCC